TGCCTCACTGACATGCGAGTTCGGTGAGAAGGAAAATGTTTATAGAACTGGGATACGATCGATGAATCTAAGTTTTGCACATTTGCTCAAGGACCTCAAAAATATTTTGGAATGCACATTCTAATCAAGTAATCATCTAGTACGGGACCATCTTGTGATCTTGTAGTACCACCTCAACAACTGAAGTTGGATTCTTCGGAGAATCTGGAGTTGCTCACATCCAGAGTGTTCCTAACGGAAGATGCTACCAGAGTTGAGTCATCTCCGTTGGCACCCCTCTCCAACCTTGCTGGCAGCTCTTCCTTGCCACGAGGCATACGCATATGCAACGTGCGTGCGACCATGCGCCCACACGTACCGTGCACGCATATGCAACGTTGCAGCCCGTGGCTGCCGCACGTCGGCCACCACTGGGAAGCAAACAACGACGTACGGCGTCGCCATCCGGGCACGGGCCGGGGAGTTCGATCTCACATGGCTTCACGCAACTGTAGTCATCCTTGACTGACGTGTTCGCCCGCTACTCCCATGTAGAAATGCTGAACCCTTGAGCGCCAAACATTTTGGCAATTTTGCGCCACTCAGTTGCAATTTTCCAACGTCTCACCAACCAATTGCAGCCTTCACCGTTTCGTTTGAACAAGGCCCATTGGATGGATACAACTCTTGATTTGCTAGTTCTCAAGCAACTGAAAATTGAATTTGTGCATGTCGATTTCCATAGAGACGAGTGCAGCCCTAGGCTCGAGACGCGACAGGGCGCGGCGGCGTCCCCGGCTATGGCTCGCCCGAGCCGGAGCCTTGACGGGTTCGGGTGCGAGAGGGGGGTGGTGAGATTTGTTGTGGAATTTGTCAATTGAGTAAAGTGATAATATTAAGAACTAGATCATCTAACCCCATTGAATGAAAAAATGAAATTCGATTTTCAGGATTTTTTTGAATAAGAGTTAAATAAGCAATTGAATTTGAAAAAAAAAAACTTCTTTATATTTTGGATAATTTCTTTTTCAATATGACCCTTTTTTTGGAGTTGCGGGGAGGTTGTCAACAACGGAGATCATGCCATGATATAAAGGGACGGCGTGGTTAGGCCTATGGAGGTGGGTGGGTCAAGGAAGGATACGCTGTGCTGGTTGAGGAAGAATAATCACAAATATAATAAGTTGTTGGTGGTGTTGCTTGCTAGCAAGGTGCATTAAACTGTTCTAGTGATTGTGGTGTTGTTGCTCCGAGCAAACAAATTTACCGGTTTATGCTAGTGTCGCCGATGTGATCTTCTCGGGCGTCATTCCCTCATCGATCACGTCGTTGTGGAGACTCCACCCCCAATCGTTGGGGGTCCCCTTCTGCGGGAGTGAAAATCCATGCCTGTCTTTCTGGATCGAACGATGTTGGTGTTTTTGAAGCCACATCCGGTTACCACTTAGAAGAAGAGTTAGCCGCCGATGGTTTTGGGTGCATCTCGTAAGGCGAGCAACACTAACTTGGGTTGCAGTGGCTTGCTATGTTTTTAGGAGTTGGAGCACCTCCTCCCCCATTGATTATGGCTTCTCTTCGACATCGAGTAGATGGTAGTTTTTTGTGCTTTTTGTGGCAGTTGTGTCCACCCGGCGACACTTTATTAGCTGGGTAATGTGGCCGCAGGGTAGTGGATTTTCCTCGGGTTTTACTCAACTAATCGAGTTTTGTGAGATTTTTGGTTTGATTTTTCTCATAAATTAGACCGGTTTTCTCCTTTGAGTGGAAATAGTAGAAACCCTATGTCATCTGACAAGGTTCGTCAAAAGCAATTTCACATTGGGCACAGATGGTCATATCATGTTACGAAAATTGCGACCAGTCTCCCCGTGTCAAACTGGGACGCCGTCATGCCACCCTTCCCTTTTCCTCCTTATTTAGAGCACAAAGATTCACCCCAAAATATGGTTGTTCCAAAGCTTTAGAATTTTTGCAGAAATTCAAAGAAAGAACAAGCTCATGTAACACCCAATAAGATCTAGGCCTTGTTTGTTACAGCTTTGGTTGGATTTTAATCATCTGTGGATTCGCTTCAGTGCCGAAGCTGATTGAATCAGCTTCACCACCGAAGTACATTTCAAGGTGCTTTAGAAAATTGCACTAAAATGACCCAAATCTAGATTCAGCTTCACTGACAAAGCTGATTTCAAATAGCTGTTTGTTTCAGATTTCAGATTCGGATTCACCAGCAAAGCTATTTTGGTCCCAGAATCCGGAACAAAGAGGGCCCTACTAACATCTAGATAGAGACCTATGGAATTGGGACGTGGAGAATCAGACACCATTTTTTTTTTCTAACCACGTCTCTTTGCTCTGAAAGGTCTTGATAGAAATATATCCTATGAATGAATTTAAAGTCTACAAAATATATCCTATGAATAGAAATATATCCTATATATACTACGACAATACGAGATTCTGCAGGGACCCTCGTGTAAAAGAGCCTCTGTTAAGCACTTAAGTCTGAACTCTGACTGAAGCAGAGCTACACGGAAGAAGAGATCGGCAAGAAAACCCAACTCCGTTGCCGCCTTCTCCGCTTCTCCTCCGTCCGTCGTCTCCGACCGGCATTCTCCTCTCGCGCTACCCAATGGCTCCTCCTCTCCCCTCGCCGTCGCTGGTCTCCACCACCCCGATCCCGACGCTCCGCATCGTCTCGCCGGTGCCGTCTTCCCGCTGGTGCCGCCGTGCCGGGCCGTTGGCCTCCGCTGGGCTGGGGGGAGCCGCGCGCAGAGACCGGCGCCGGAGCCGGAGCACGCGGGGACGGAGGGGCATGAGGATCCGTGCCTACACGGCGGAAGCTGAACACGGGAGGTGGCAGGAGGATGTGGCCGACGATTTCTACTCTGTTCTTGGCGTCGTAAGTGCTCTGAAACAATCCTTACTAATTCTGCAAGTATGTCAATTGGTGTTTGGAATGGAAAATTGAGTGCCAATTCTAAGAGCAAAGAAATGTCCATTGGAACTCATATATCACTTAGGAAATCCCCAGATAAGGGTTGGAAATTATGCTTGCTATTTCTGAATAAGTAGTTGTTTGTGGGCAATGGATTTGCTGCTGATCTGTGACACCTGATTCTGAATGTTGCACCACCAGATGCCAGATGCAACCTCCGAGGAAATCAAGAAAGCCTACTACAGCTGCATGAAAACGTGCCATCCAGACCTCAGTGGAGGCGAAGATCCTGAAGTGACCAACTTCTCCATGTTCATCAACGAGGTTTACACGGTAGGAGCCTTCAGTAAAAGTTTTCGGTTGCTTATGGATGCATATACGCAACTGTTCTGGAAGATGCTTGATTTTCCACTGAAATTGTCTTTGCTCACAAAGCTAACAAGAGTTGTGGGATTCGAAGAGCAGGTGCTGAGCGATCCGGTGCAGCGTGCGGTGTATGATGAGATCCATGGGTACACGGCAACGGCGACCAACCCTTTCTTTGATGACAGTGCAGTCAAGGATCGCGTGTTCGTCGATGAGTTTACCTGTATAGGTATTGATAAATTTTATTTGAGGAGTTATTGATAATTTTTTCATAACAAATTTGGTTCTTCGTAAGGGAGTCAGTGTATTTTATCTTGTGCACGTCGTTTCAGGATGCAGAATTTGCGCCAACGTGTGCCCCAGTGTCTTTGAAATTGAGGACGAATTTGGGAGGGCAAGAGTCTGCTCCCAGAGGGGTAACCCGGAGCTCATTCAGGATGCCATTAATAGTTGGTGAGTATACAAAGGCCACCATAATATTTATTTGGAGTTTATGTCCTGCCAATTATCCCCATCACTATATCCAAGTCCTTGCAAGAGTTTCAGATTTCAGATTTTATTTTACACTTTCATTATATTATATAGTGCACATGTTAAAGTTGTTGCACTGAACTTTCTCGTATTTCCGTTTCCAGCCCAGTTGACTGTATTCACTGGACTTCTGCTGCACAACTTTCACTCCTTGAGAGTGAAACACGAAGAATAGAAAGGGTCAATGTAAGACGACTTTCTTTCAGACATACAGTTCTACATCTCTATATGATCATATAAGCTATTGGTTACGTATGAGGACCTTGTAGTTCACTTTGGTAGCAAAATGTGTATTATTCTGAAAACTCCAAATAAAAGTATACACAAGAAAATTCCTGTGTTTACTCTGCTTTATTATTTCAGATAATTTGTAGTTTCAGTATAGTAATTCTGGTTTCCAATTTTGGGCAGGTTGGGCTGATGAATGCTGGGATGGGAGTTTCAGTCAACGTCTTTCGAATGGTAATAGTCGCTTCATTCATGTGATTTTATTTGCTTATCTAATTTACTCCCTAAGCGTGCTCCCAAAATTATGTATTTCTTCTCAATGTTGATAGGCTTTTGGCTACCATAGTACAAAGTGCAGTTCAGTTCTGTTCAAATTCACGGGTCTGTAGATATTGCCTGCTGCAATATGCTATTATTTACTTGTTATTAAGATACTTCTTATTTGGCAGGCAAGTGCGAGTTGGGAAAAGCGACAAGCAAAAGTCTTGGTATAATCCTTCCCATTTTGTTCATTTGTATAATGCCATATTCCCTCGAGAATTTCATGATTGTTTCCCAATGTCATATATTCGACTGGAACTGAAGATATATCATTGGTTAGCAAAGGAACTAAAACAAGTATGTAAACCTATCTCCTTTTACAGGAAAAAATCAGAACACGGATGATGGACCAAAATAATTCAGACACGACTAGCCCTTGGAGTGATATCTGGGGTTCTCCAACGCGATACCAAAACACTGGTAATGTTTCTGCAAATAACATACCCTCAATAAAATCCTTCCATTTAAAAAAGCATATCTTATAGCAATACCTCTTTAGTTGGTACCATTATGAATTTTATCACTTTCCTATGGAGCCGATAGAACAATATTGACTCAAAACAAATGTGTTCTCTTACTGTCTGTTCATTCCGGTATGGCTGTATTACGGAATCTGATTAATCAAAATCAAACAGAAGATGAAGAAGCATCAGAGAGAGCGAACAGAGCGGCAGCAGCTGCTAGGCGATGGAGAGAATACTCAAGGAAAGGTGCCGACAGGCCTCCAAGATACAAACTTCCAGATGCAGTAGGCAAGAAAGAGTAGCAACAGAACAGAGGAGTTTACATCTTGATTCCTGCTGATACCATTTGATCAGATTTAGCTACATGTATAGTCTAATGGTATGTAGAGATAGATAACCAAGAAGATGTAGCATCATGTTTCTTCTGCCAAGATTCCCATTTTTCATCTATAAATGGTGATGTAGCTGATGTTGACGAACTGTAGAGTACACAGACCCAACTGTAAAACATTCAGAGTGTAACATCAAGTGTATAATGTACATTAGCGCCTTGGCAACCTGAGACCCATGCATCTTCGCTTACCCGTGCTTGTGCAGATGAATTCCGGGGCAAATTTCCTTTGGCAGCAGCCCGGCCGGCAACCACCGACACACCCTGGTGTCTGACGGCGCCACCATCTGCCAAAGGAGACCCTGCCCAGCAATTCAGCTGCACATCTTCTACACAATAATGACCACAGGTTCACAGGAAACTCTCACTGCTCCCCCTCGTGTGGAACTCTGTTTCATCCGGGGAGCACACATGGTTAGTGATCACCCTGCAGCAGGGGCATTTATACCCGTTCTGGTCCTGCATGGTGCACCTTTCTGAGCTCTGGCTGCAAAGGCACAATGAGGATCGAACTGAGGATATACCATAGGACAATGCCAGGCCTAGACTGGATGATGCTTCATACAAGGCTGAATAGGAGAGGCCATTGCAATGTATGAGTCGTCGTCAAGCACATTTTACCAGTTACACGTGCTAAGAAATCATGTGACAGCATCTAAGCAATCAGTCTTCTTCGTTTAGTACAACCATACTAGCCTCTAATTCAGTGTAGACAGAGAGGAAACGATGGGACAGTACAACTCAGGGTAGACAGAACTGCGATTTTACTGTACGACTCTACAACTACTTTAAGATCCAAATTAACTCCTATGATTCTACGATTTTGGTTAGTAGAATCTACATTTCCATGATTCTAGTAATGAAGATTCTACGATTTAAGATCCTGGCAGGGGTGCTCCGATCCGATTCAGAATCATGATTCTGATTACCTTGTACAACTCTATTAGCTAGCCTCTAATTCAACGTCCTAATCTAACATCATGTACAAAAAGCCTGACTACCTAATGTAAAGAACACAATCAGCCAGAGCTTTGCGACCCTTGCTCTATTTCTTTTTGCGGGATGTGTGAGCTTTAATTCTGTGTATTATCTAATGATGTGTAGTGTCCTGTAAATTCCATTGGCTAAATCTAATGATGTGCAGTCCCCTATAAATTCTTATTGCGCATAATAATAATAAAAAATCTCGATTAAATAAATACGCCAGGCCTTTTTCAGAGGTAACTAGAACCATTTTCCTCACAATCGTGTGGACACCATGCTAGTTCATATTAGAGGGTCATGACTACTAGTGCAGTAATAGCAAGTTCAAGCAATATAGCAGGATTGTACATGTATAATTTAAGAGTCGATATTTGATTTTAGGTAGCCTGTGAATATGCAAATCTTGTTGAGTCTGTTGGTTTCAACAGATGGTTTTCACTTCTAGTGAGATGAGATGTCGATGACGTTCACTGAATTTCTGTAGACACTAAAATCTATACCTTTCAGTTAAAATATTTCAATAGTACATATGAATTTAGGTATCTTTAAGAAATTCCAAATACTTGGTTGAATTCAAGTGAATGTTTCGGCCCTTTGGCCAGAATGCAAACCGAAATCACTAGTCATTGTGATAATTTCGGTTGTTGCTGAAATATTTCTGAAATTGTAAGTGAAAATCACATGGACCCATATTTTTGAAGGAGAAAACTACTTCTACAAATCTCCCCACAAAAAAGAATAAATATAAATATATTAAGTACCCGAGACATTTCAGCCACTCATAGCATCTCCAATAGCTTGTCTATATGGATGTTTATACTCGTTTTCCACGACGTGAGCCCAAAACAGCCGTCCAACAGCTTGTCTATATGGTCGTCCAAATATACACATCCTCTAAATCGACCTCGACAATGTCCACGCCTGGACAATGTGAAGGTGTCGTCCAAACTCAGCTGCAGTCATGATTTCTTCCTCTCCCCAGCGACGACCCACCTGTCATGGTCCCTGTATATAGACGTTCTGATGTAAAACTGGACGTGTATATGAGGGAATCTTTTTAGACCATTGTCTATATGAATATATAGACATCCAAATATACACATGCTATTGGAGATGCTCTATATGGGTGGGTTTCAAGTGGGTATTGCCAAAATTGCTGGTATCTCTAGGCTGAGTACACATTGTGGCTAGCTTACAATAATTTATTGTTTCAATTCTACATATTCAGGCCTATTACAAAAAAATATATGATTTTCATAGACAATAGGCATGTGACCATGACTAAGTGTCAACCGCTAATTAAGCAATTGTATGTACAAAGGAGTACCGCCAATGAGCGAGACCGTAGAAAGGGCTTGAGGGGAAACCTAATGTTGGCAACTCATACACACTCTAGAGTTCATTAATTTTTGTTGCAGTGAACTGGACTTCATTATTTATTTACTCCTAAATTTGATACTCTTGCACTAGAAACTTGTATCAAACAATGTATTTGATTTGTGCAATCTAGTATGCTCTACCAAATACTATGGACAAGGCCACGTAAGTAAATCCAGATGTATACATAATTTATGAACTAATGCTATAAATATATTGTAAACATTTTCTTAAACTAATCTAATAAAATAAAAGACAAAATTCAACTATGATTTAGCACAACAACAACAAAACGTTTGTGATGACAAAATCAGCTATTATTTGGCACAACTCCAAAGTGATTAGGATAATTTTCATTCAAAAATGTTCCTGAATCTGTTTTTATAGGATACGGTAAGAGATTTTGACATCCGATAACAATCTGATCTGAATACGAGACCGATTGATAGGATACGGTATAGGATATGTGAAGGAAATATGCCCTAGAGGCAATAATAAAGTTATTATTTATTTCCTTATATCATGACAAATGTTTATTATTCATGCTAGAATTGTATTAACCGGAAACATAATACATGTGTGAATACATAGACAAACAGAGTGTCACTAGTATGCCTCTACTTGACTAGCTCGTTAATCAAAGATGGTTAAGTTTCCTAACCATGAACAATGTGTTGTTATTTGATTAACGAGGTCACATCATTAGTTGAATGATCTGATTGACATGACCCATTTCATTAGCTTAGCACCCGATCGTTTAGTATGTTGCTATTGCTTTCTTCATGACTTATACATGTTCCTATGACTATGAGATTATGCAACTCCCGTTTGCCGGAGGAACACTTTGGGTACTACCAAACGTCACAACGTAACTGGGTGATTATAAAGGAGTACTACAGGTGTCTCCAATGGTAGATGTTGGGTTGGCGTATTTCGAGATTAGGGTTTGTCACTCCGATTGTCGGAGAGGTATCTCTGGGCCCTCTCGATAATACACATCACATAAGCCTTGCAAGCATTATAACTAAGATGTTAGTTGTGAGATGATGTATTACGGAACGAGTAAAGAGACTTGCCAGTAACGAGATTGAACTAGGTATTGGATACCGACGATCGAATCTCGGGCAAGTAACATACCGATGACAAAGGGAACAACGTATGTTGTTATGCGGTCTGACCGATAAAGATCTTCGTAGAATATGTAGGAGCCAATATGGGCATCCAGGTCCCGCTATTGGTTATTGACCGGAGACGTGTCTCGGTCATGTCTACATTGTTCTCGAACCGTAGGGTCCGCACGCTTAACGTTACGATGACAGTTATTATGAGTTTATGCATTTTGATGTACCGAAGGTTGTTCGGAGTCCAGGATGTGATCACGGACATGACGAGGAGTCTCGAAATGGTCGAGATATAAAGATTGATATATTGGAAGCCTATGTTTGGACATCGGAAGTGTTCCGGGTGAAATCGGGATTTTACCGGAATACCAGAAGGGTTACCGGAACCCCCCGGGAGCTAAATGGGCCATAATGGGCCTTAGTGGAAAAGAGAAGGGGCTGCCCTAGATGGGCTGCGCGCCTCCCCCTTCCCCTAGTCCTATTAGGACTAGGAAAGGGTGGCCGGCCACCTCCTCCTCTTTTCCCCTCCGAGGAATCCTAGTTGGACTAGGATTGGAGGGGGAATCCTACTCCCAGTGGGAGTAGGACTCTCCTGCGCCTCCCTCCTTGGCCGGCCAGCCCCTCCCCCTTGGATCCTTTATATACGGGGGCAGGGGGCACCTCTAGACACACAAGTTGATCCTTGAGATCGTTCCTTAGCCGTGTGCGGTGCCCCCTGCCACCAAATTCCACCTCGATCATACTGTTGTAGTGCTTAGGCGAAGCCCTGCGTCGGTAGTACATCAAGATCGTCACCACGCCGTCGTGCTGACGGAACTCCTCCCCGAAGCTTTGCTAGATCGGAGCCCGGGGATCGTCATCGAGCTGAACGTGTGCTAAGAACTCGGAGGTGCCGGAGTAACGGTGCTTGGATCGGTCGGATCAGGAAGAAGACGTACGACTACTTCCTCTACGTTGTGTCAACGCTTCCGTTGCGATCTACAAGGGTACGTAGATTAGACTCTCCCCCTCGTTGCTATGCATCACCATGATCTTGCGTGTGCGTAGGAAAATTTTGAAATTACTACGTTCCCCAACAGTGGCATCCGAGCCTAGGTTTTATGGTTTGATGTTATTTGCATGAGTAGAACACAAGTGAGTTGTGGGGGATACAAGTCATACTGCCTACCAGCATGTCATACTTTGGTTCGGCGGTATTGTTGGACGAGACGACCCGGACCAACCTTACGCGTACGCTTACGCGAGACCGGTTTCCTCGACGTGCTTTGCACATAGATGGCTTGCGGGCGACTGTCTCTCCAACTTTAGTTGAACCGAGTGTGGCTACGCCCGGTCCTTGAGAAGGTTAAAACGGAGTCTATTTGACAAACTATCGTTGTGGTTTTGATCCGTAGGTGAGATGAGTTATTGCTTAAGCCCGTAGCAGCCA